AGCTTTCCTCTACCCAAGATTGACCAGTTGGTAGACATCACATCTGGACATGGAAGGATGAGCTTCCTGGACGCTTACAGAGGATACCACCAGATAGCCATGTACCCCCTAGACGAGGAGAAGATAGCGTTTATCACCCCGAAAGGGCTGTATTGTTACAAAGTAATGCCTTTTGGGTTGAAAAACGTAGGAGCAACTTACCAAAGGTTGGTAACCAAGATGTTCAAAAACCTGATTGGCCAAACAGTAGAAGTCTACATCGACGACATGGTCGTGAAGACCAAGTAACCTAAGGACCATCTTGCCGACTTAAAAGAGGTCTTTGATATACTCAAAACATACCGGCTCCGACTCAACGCATCGAAGTATGCATTTGGGGTTGGATCAGGTAAGTTTCTGGGGTACTGGGTAACAAGAAAGGGCATTGAAGCCAGCACAGACCAAATCAAGGCCATCCTAGAGTTGAAAAACCCGACATCGGCAAAACAGGTGCAGATGCTAACTGGAAGGGCCGCAGCCCTAAACAGGTTCATCAGTAGAAGCTCAGACAAATGTAAACCCTTCTTCAACCTGGTGAAGAAGGCCACGAACTTCCTATGGACTGAGGAATGTGAGGCCGCTTTGGCCGACCTAAAAAAGTATCTAACCACGGCTCTAGTCCTCTCAACACCTGAACCTAGAGAAGAACTGTTTTTGTATTTGGCAGTTTCAGAACACGCAGTAAGTGCAGTACTAATCCGAGAGGAAAAAGGGGAGCAAAAGGCTGTTTATTATGTAAGCAAAACCGTAGCCGATGCAGAAACAAGGTACCTACCACTAGAGAAATTAATGCTGGCCTTAATAATGGCTTCAAAGAAGTTGAACCATTACTTTCAAGCACACAAGACTATAGTGCTAACAGAGCACCCGCTGAAGTCCTTGTTACAACAAGGAGACTTAACTGGAAGAATAGCAAGATGGGCAGTGACCTTGGGCCAGTATGACCTGGAGTTCAGACCGAGAACAGCAATTAAGGGCCAAGTTTTGGCCGACTTCGTAGCGGAATTCACGCCAGAATCCATCGAACATCGGGCTCTGTTGAGCCAAGATGAACAATGTCCAAGCAAACAAGGAGAAGCCCAGCCAAAGGCAAAAGAACAAGGAAAGGAAAAACTCAGACCCTGCAGCATTTACATCGGCGACTCCTTTCGCTTGTTTGTCAATGGGAGCTCAAACCGGCAAGGAGCGGGGGCAGGAGTAGTGTTGATATCCCCTGATGGGGAGATATTGGAACAATCTATTCGATTAGGGTTCAAGGCCTCAAACAATGAGGCAGAATACGAAGCGCTGATTGCAGGACTAAAGCTGGCAGTGGCAGCAGAAGCAGATGAGGTAATAATTTTTTGTGATTCTCAACTTATAGTAAATCAAACAACAGGAGAGTTTGCAACCCGAGATGAGAGGATGTCGGCATACGCAAAGGAAGTTATCAGGCTGGCAGCCTTGTTTCGCAACTGTCGACTTCTTCAAGTCAGCCGAGATGATAACAACCACGCCGACACGTTGGCCAACTTGGCAAGCTCAATGCAAACTGGAAAAACAAGGACAATAATGATTGACTATTTGTCAAGCCCGAGCATAGAACAGCCGATCGCAGAACAAGAAGCAATGTGTGTGGACTTGGGACCAAGCTGGATGGATGCAATTGTTGCATTCCTAAAAGAAGAAAATCTGCCAGAAGACCATAAGGAAGCGCACAAGGTCAGATTGAAGTCGGCAAGATTCAATCTGACAGCAGACGGACATCTTTACAGAAGGTCTATCGCTGGACCCCTTTTAAGGTGCGTACACCCTTTACAGGTTGAAGATTTTCTATATGAAATTCATGAAGGGAGCTGTGGAAGCCACGCTGGGGGCAGATCACTAGCTCACAGGGCCATTACCCAGGGGTATTGGTGGCCCTACATGCAAAAAGATGCAGAAGCCTACGTAAAGAAGTGTGAACAATGCCAAAGGTTCGCGCCTTTGATACATCAGCCAGCTGCTGACCTGAACCCTATATCTAGTCCATGGCCATTTGCCCAATGGGGCATGGATCTCGTTGGTCAGTTGCCCCAAGCAACTGGGCAAAGGAAGTACTTGCTGGTAGCAACAGATTACTTCACGAAGTGGATAGAAGCAGAACCTCTTGCCAAAATCTGAGATGTGGACGTCAAGAACTTCATATGGAGAAACATCATCACCAGATTTGGCATTCCAAGTGCAATAGTTGCTGACAACGGAACGCAGTTTGACAGCAAACTCATCAAGAACTTCTGTGCAAAATTCAAGATAAAGAATTACTTTTCAACACCAAGTTTTCCCCAAAGCAATGGGCAAGCAGAAGCATCCAACAAAGTAATTTTGGATGGGATAAAGAAGAGGCTGCAGGCAGCAAAAGAAAAGTGGGTGGACGAGTTGCCCAATGTACTCTGGACATATCGGACTACACCGAGAAGATCAACAGGGGAAACCCCCTTTGTCATGGCTTACGGCACAGAAGCAGTTATCCCACTGGAGATCGGCATCCCAGGGATCAGAACCCAGGAAGTAGAGAATGGGACTAATGACATACTTCTAGCCTGAGATCTAGATCTCTTAGAAGAAAGAAGAGAGAAAGCTGCAATTCAACTCGCAGCATACCAGCAGCATCTTGCTAGAGCTTACAATAAGAAGGTCAATCCAAGGGATTTTCAGGTCGGCGACCTAGTCCTAAGAAAAGTTGTTGGCAACAAGAAGGACCCCA